GGACAGTCAGTGTCTAGTTTAGATCAGGTTTCTTTTAATGTGAATCCATTATTCTGTGTCCTGCAATGAATGAGGAGATCTTGTCCTTTTTTCTTTGTGACAGCCTTTCAGGTACTTGTAAGGTGCTATGATACCTCTCCTCAAATGCAACCATACAACCATTTTGGCATGGATTATCCTGTTTCGTGACCTGACCTATAGCTTACTTGTCTAATCCCCAAGCAGACACTGCTACCTGACTTCACATGACAATGCAGGCTATGACAAGCCAGGTGCTCATGGGTGCCCAGCACGTGCAGCAGCATGTGCAGGTAAAATTAGCCATGGTGGGCTGTTATGTCATGTGAATCAAGTCACTGATTTTCAGGCTAACTTACCTTTCAGGGTTGTGGTGAAAATAAAAAGGAAAGAAGGAGAAGGACTTTGTAAACTGCCATGGGTTTCTTGGAAGGGGAAAAATGAGATATAAATTTAATAATAAATGCATCTATATTTACAATAACTCTTTATTTGCTATTTTCTAGTGGCCAAATATCAACTTAAAGGTTAACAAAGATGAACAGTTACACAGGTATGTAATTACTATTTGGAGAAAACTCAGAGTAAGAAAGTATGCAACATGCCTTGAAGATAGTATGTTCCTATACTGTAAAGCAAATATGTTAACTAAAAATAATTACATTGGAATAAACATTAATACACTTAAGTGCTCATGTCTGCCCAAACTGCATTTATTTCTTGGCAATGTTCTGTTGTATAAGTGCTTGATTAATCAGTGCCTTTCCTGCTAGAATTTTCCCCCAAATGAAAGTATTTGTTCAGTTGATTCAGTTTCTCATTTTGTAAGAATATGTTAAAACAAGTTTATTTTTCATTTCAGCAACTTTCATTATTTATTTATTTTCTATACCATTCAACAGCCAAAGCTCTCTGGATAGTTCCTTTCCTTTTTCCATTCCGTTTCTCTTTCTCCATCCAAAGCACTCTGGATAGTTCACAACAGCACATTATAAATACAAAATAAAATATGCCAAATTAAAACATTAAAACATCTTTAGAAGTTTGCCAAATTTAAAACCAAATTTAAAACTGATTAAAAATAAATAACTTGTAGTTATGTAGTTTTCTGTTTCTAAAACATTTAGTGACTTGAATCCTGAATCACCACCTCTGAATGGGGCAGTGATCATGGAAGGAGCTTTCTGCCTACCCATTCTCTTTATGCCTACTGTGTTACACCAAACTCTAGTCCTGAGGTCAAGCCCCACCCCCCTTTGAATGGTGCAGGGATATGGTTTGAGGCCTAAAAAAAGTTGGGATTTGCTGGAAATCACTCCCTCCACCCTGCCACATATTCAGTGAGGAGCAACTTACTTTATAGTCCTTGGCAAAGTTTGCAGCACAGTACGCATTTGTTTGTAGTCACATATTGACCTGCAGCATAATAATGATTTAATCATGCTATACTATAGTGGGTTAGCCACTGGATAAGCAAGCTATGGGCTAGTTACTGGGTTATTTAGTGCCTAGTGCGGTGGGTTTGGATGACACACTAAGCAGCCTGTGGCAGTTGTTGTTGTAAACTGCCCAGAGAGCCTTGTGTGGTATAGAAATTCAATCAATCAGTCAATCAAATGAAGGGTTGCTAAGAAACTGCAGAAGTTGTGGGCACACTATAGGCAGGCAGTATGTCTAATCTCTGCTGCTTATGCATAACGGCTGATGGAATGTTTAACCCATAGTCCATTCTGTCATGCAAACCAGGTAAGTAGCTAGTAATATAAAATTGTAGGAGGGTTTCTCAGATATAGCCTTGGCAAGTCAGGGAAATTAAACAACATATCTGAATCAACAAAGAGTTGTGAAAGATAGTCATCCAGCCATAGTAGTGCTCACCAAAGATTGGTATGAATTTATTATAGATTTTCTGAAATTGAATATGTGCAAATAATATGAAGGTACATGTCTAAATATTTCTTTGGTCTACATCTTGTAACTATAATCAGTGGTGCTTTCTTTTAACCTTAATATGAAAAAAAGTTTCTTAAAATGCCCTATTTCTTTTAAGAAATGTGTGTTTCCTGGTTACTTTTCAATATTTCCTCAGTTACAATTAATCACTGACTTCCATGAATGTATGTGTGCATTAGCAGGTAAATGATTTCAGAAGGAAAACAAAACATAATTATTTTTATTCAGTTATTGGGATATTTATATTCTAGCTTTCCAATACATTTGTATTGCTCAGCGTAACAAGATGTCAACCAGTAAAACTGAGCATGTAAGTTAAAAAGAGATAAGGTGTAATTTAAAAAAAAAACTAAAATAAAGTTTTTCTGCATGAAAATAATCAACCTGGCAAGCCAAGCAGCCTGCTGGGACTGAAACCATATAACAAGAAATTATGTGAGAGAAGTCAAACAAATCTCTTCCAGCAAGATGCTCAACAAGCGAGGCTCATTTGCCGGAGGACCTTGCCTTGTTTCCCACTAAGCATGCTTTGGCCACAGGTGGGAGGTAGCAGAGCCCCTCACAATAGTTCTCAGTTATCAGGAACACTTGATTGCTTTTGTATGCATTTTTAGAAAACACTGTAAACAGAGAGCAATATGCACATTTGTCTGAAGCCTGCAATGATTTTTTTCAGCATCTTATTCTTCTGTTTGATACTAGATTTGTTCAACGACTGATGTATTTTTACAAGCCTAGCAGCAAGTTGTATGCCAACCTGGATCTGGATTATGCAAAGTCCAAACAGCTCACAGTTGTGGGTTGCCAGTTTACAGAGTTCCTTCTTGAATCTGAAGAGGTAAGATTGGTTTTGTCCCAGTATAACTAACAGTTGTCAGGTTCTTATACTCAAACTTGACTTTGAGGGAGGATTTTGGTTTTTTTTTTTAAAAAAGCATGGAAGATTTTTCTTTAGACTATGTCTCCAAAGTGTCATGAAAGTCCAGTAGAAATAATGAATTCTGAACCTTAAGAATCAGTCCAGGAAATTTGATGGCCTAAATATGGTATGAGGCCTAATATGGGATGGAACATATAAAATGCAATGTTTATCCACAGCTTATAAGGGAAAGTAATATGAAATGCATTGCTAAAAGCCCTAAAACTTTAAAATACATTAATACAATTAAAACTGTGGGTTCTTTGGAGGGTCTTTACGTTTCCTTTTCATTCTACTTCCTTAGTGGTACCAGGTAAGCTAAATCAATTGGGTGTCTAGTTATCCCACCAAGATTCGCTGGCTGTTCAGTCAGTTAGTCATTGCCACCGTCTACTGGGTCAGTAGAACTGTAGGTTTCTTTCAGTTTTATACGGGGAGAGATCTCACTGCCAGCTTTCAGTCTCTGCACATCCATATTTCCTGAAGCAGGGCTGCAGAACTGCAGGCTTGCAGACCATATCTGGTCCACCTGGGGTCCAAATCCAGCTGTCCAGTTTTCCCCAGATAGCTACTTCTGTTTCCTTTCCCTTCCAGCATGATGTGTGTTCATTTGGTGGCTTCCCATCTTTTGCAGATTTTCCCTCATTATGAAAGTCTGAAATGCCTCTGTTAAAGCATAGTTCATGTCAGTAAAAGCTTTTTTTTTTTTTAACAATAGACTAGTATTTGCCCTGCTTGCTTTGTTTTAGGTTTCACTGTGTTTTGCTTTCATTCCTGCCCACACTTAGAATGCAGCCTCCAAACATGAATTCAGTCCTTAGACTGAAAGAGGCTTGACACCTCTGTCCTAGCTGGTATTAGAGTTGGGGAAGAAATTTGTTCAGTTTGCATTTTAATACTAATATACTGTACTTGCTCTTACTGAACTGAAATGCATCCCCAGTTTTCAAGATATTATGATGTGGTTTGCTAATTGAAAGATGATACAAAAACATGTATATTAGTAAAAATGTGCATAAAATACATATATTAGTGAGAATAGTGCACAAATTGCTTGAATGAAAATGCAGAACTCACTTGGGAAGTTTAAATACATTAAACTTTTAAAAATGGGAAACTGAACAAAACCAAAATTGAAAAAAAAACTGTTCATCTGCAACTGGTATAATAAGCACATAGTTAATCTCTTACATGCTGCAGAAGATCCATTTTAAGAGGTTGTGATGCACTCAGCAATCTCTCTACATTTCAAACAAAGCAGCATCGACTTCTGAAAGCATGGTTTATTTACTCCATCTGAAGCAGTCAACCAGAAGACTAGGTTTCACATTTATAGTATCTTTCCTGCAAAATTGATGCACTGGCCTGACTTGCTTCAGGATATTGGGTAGGGGTGATGCACAGGTCAATCAACATGCACTTTTGCCCCTCAGGAAGCAAGACAGGAAGGAAAGAAGGAAGGAAGGCAGGTGCAACAAAAGGTAGATACGGACTTAAAATTATCTGAACTTTCTATAGTCTAATCCATTGCATCCATGATTCTCTGTGTTACTCAAAGGGTAACAAATCAACATGGTCCTTTTTAGTCCCCATTTTGCTTTGAGTTGTTCAACAAAACTCACAGCATGAAGGGCAAGGAAAGTCCTAGAGGGTGCAAGTCTGCTTTTGTAGAAATATGCTTTTAAATTGTGTCACTTTTCAATTGCCTCCACTAGCTTTTAGAAAACTTGGGCTGCCTGGTGATTATTTACAGTTGTGACTGCTATAATTCCCACAGAAATGACATTCAGCATATGTCAGGATCATCTGAAGGCAGTATCGCAGCTGACTTTCCCTACATTTCTTATGCTGGAAGAATTCTAAACCTGTGTAGGGTTCCTTTCATTTAAAATAAGAGCAACTTCCTAGCATGTTGCATTTGGATTTTAATATTCCTTCTAAAATGCATATCTTTTCTCTTATTGTTAAATCATAGTATGTTGTAAAAGTCTACATACATTCCAGAACTTTCACAATGATGGTTTTCCTCTGGTCTTAACTTACCTAATACTGGTGTGTTTGATATTTCCTTGGTTTGCGATAAGAGAGATTTAAATTTGCCTTTTTTCAGCGAGGGGGAAAGACTCCTGCAAAAATAACTGAAGTAGCTTTTCTTTTCTTTTTTCACTTTGAAGCAGGATGGCCATGGCTACCTTGAAGAGTTAGTAAAAGATATTGTGCACTGGCTTAATTCTTCTTCTGGAATGAAACCAGAACGCAGTCTGCAGAACAATGGGTTACTTAACACTCTTAGTCAGCACTACTTCTTGTTTTTTGGTACACTTTCCTGTCATCCCCATGGAGTGAAAATGCTTGAAAAATGTAACGTGTTTCAGTGGTAAGCCCTACCTTCCGTTATAGAATGTTTTGAAATACTTGAATTCTAGAATCCTAAAAATTTGAATTGTCTCATAGTATTCTACATTTTTCTAGAAATGAAAAGTATTAAACTATTATGGTGGTGTGGCGTGCTTGCTTATGTTCTTTGAGAGAGAGAGAGAGAGAGAGAGAGATTATGTTAGATTTGACAGAGTACCAAGTTACAAGTTTCAAATGCAAAAGAATTGCAATCAAATGCCATTATTTTATTTATTTATTTATTTATTTATTTATTTATTTATTAAAGTTGAAGGAGTTGCCCCAAACCATCTACTTTTCATCTGTTTTGTATGCTGCTTGATTTTAAATTGTGCTATACTTCCGAGAGTAGTATTTAGTTTTGTGAAGGTAATGGTCACATTTCTAAAGTTTAATCTACAGAACAAGAACACTTTTATTTTTCAGGTAAAAAAATGCATACTGAAAATACTATATTATTGGGCTAGGTAGGCACCTGTGCTTAAAGTATTCTGCCTGACCAAAAAAAAGGGGGCAGTGGGAGCACAGAGAAGAACCAAGGAGAAATGATAACTACCAAAATGCCCAAGTGACACTTTAACCCCCTGCTCTCACCAGTGATGAGAATTATAGTTTCTCACAGGCAGTGCTACTCTTCTGGTATCAGCAGGCATGTGGCATGGGGAAGCTGAGGTGGGAGTGAAACAAGAGGCATTGTTCTTGGCTTCCTTGAGAGGAAGCCGAGTGCAATGCAGCACATCCCCCTACCCATCTATTACAAGCTGTGGTAACAAGGCTAGGACAGCACATGTTCTCTTCCCCAGCACCCCATGGGGGCACATTCTTCTGAGCCTACTCCCTGCTTACTGTGATAGCCAGTGATAGGGCAAAATGTATTGGTTTTTCCTATGCACTGGGGCTTCAGGGGCCAATGTAGGGTGAACACTTTGTCTCCTTCTCTAGCCCTCCTTGGGGCTTGGGAAGGCAGCATACAGCAGACCCTGCTGGTACATGCCACTTCCCCAAGCAGGGCTTGAGAGGCAGGTCATATCAGCAGGGAATCCTATGACAGCCTCCCATAATTGCCACTGCACAGTTTGTAGGTAATTATCATTGGTGCTTCCCAGGATCCACTTGACTAGAGCTGCACAGGGATTGTGCCACTCTTTCCAAATGGCTTGCTTGTTGTGGGGCTTGCTCTTGTCATGTTGTCCAGGTTCAGGTGATATAGTACTGAAACAGAGTACTGGTAGAGGTAATGGGCTGGATGAGGGTCAATAAACTGAGCCTCACTTCCTGCTTGGATTACTGCAATGCGCTCTATGTGGGGCTGCCCTTGAAAATGGTCCGGATACTGCAACTGGTACAGAATAGAGCGGCCAATCTGCTGACGGGGACCGGCTGTTACTCTCAAATAACGCCGGTCCTCTACCAGCTCCACTGGCTTCCAGCTGAAGTCCGGGCCCAATTCAAGGTGCTGGTTTTGACCTATAAAGCCCTAAACAGCTTGGGACCAGAATACCTGAATGAACGTCTCCTTCCTTATATGACCTCACGCCCCTTAAGATCTATGGGAGAAGCCCTACTCTGGAAACCCTCTCTAAGTGAGGAAAAAGGGTCATCAACTCGGAGTAGGGCCTTCTCTGGAATGTACTCCCCAGAGAGGTATGCCTGGCGCCAAATTTATACTCTTTTCGGTGCCAGGCCAAAACCTTTTTATTTAAACAGTACTTTAAAATGTAATCGTTTTTAGATTTAGTCACTCTGTTTGTGATTTATTGTTTTGTTCTGTTTTATTATTTATTGAAATTGTTGTTTTAATTGTCTTTTTAAATATTGTAAGCCATCCTGAGATCTTGTATAATAGGGCGGCATACAAAAGCGATAGATCGATAGATCGATAGATCGATAGATAGATAGATAGATAGATAGATAGATAGATAGATAGATAGATAGATAGAAAGCTATGAAGGGTTAAGCAATCCTAGCAACTTCTGGTCAGAATGATTCATAAACCAACCTAAGCCACTCTGACAACAGCATCCCCAGTTTGGGTAGCATGTTAATCCATGGCAACCTAGCTTTTTGAAGGAACCTGGTCATGGAATCTCTTTGTCTTTGAATTGCACAGCAGTTTATGTCACCCTTTTCACATTTTAGGATATCAGAAGCAACAACAGCAAACTCTCCTAAGCAGTTCACAATGAAGAGGCAGGGAAGGAAAGATGGAGAGATTTTTTTAAAAATCAGCCCAGTTCTTTCCCATTCACTTGCATTCTCAGGAACTCATTTTCCAGGTTATTACCTTAGAAGTTTGTAGATGTGCATACCTTCAAAGGATTTCTCTTGTGCTTAACTGTTCTCATCTTCTTTCAGTCTCCTCAGTCTTTGCTCCCTAAAGAACCAAGATCACTTACTCAAACTGACAGTTTCTAGCTTGGACTACAGCAGAGATGGATTAGCAAGAGTCATCCTTTCTAAAATCTTAACTGCGTCTACAGATGTAAGTGACAGGCAGCTGCTCTAAATATCTCAGGTCTGGACAATGTATGAGTGTGGATGGTTTTATGCTCTCATAAGTTGGTATATTGGAGAGAATGTTAGGTTTGGATCTGAAACACCTAGTTTGAAATGCTTTCTTAAAGCCTTGTCTTTGAAGCTAATTCTTTCTCTCAGCCTGCCCTACTTCCAGGATTGCTGTGACTATTAACTACAGTGTAGCTTTGAAGAAGGCAGAGATACAAATAATGGACCATGTCTGATGGTGACTGGCCACATGCTGTCCAGATGATATCCAGCTGTTGGGAGCTGGGTTCTCTAGGTCCTCTCTTTCAAACAACAGACAGTTCTTTGGCAAAAGCACTTTATTTCCACTGTACATCCAGCATGCTATTAGCCAAAAGGGGAAGAGTTGCTGAGCATGCATAGAACATTCATTGAACCCAAACTAGAAACTGCTTCCAAGAACTCTTCTTTTCAGTAACCTGGGCCCCACCCCTCTGGGTGTGTCTCTCTAGTTGGCTAGCTCTTTTCTCCCAATGCTGTGTTGTGGGGTCAAGGATCAGACCAGGCTCCTCTGACTCCCATGTACCCTCTCTTCACTTCCAAACACTGTTGGTTCCCAGGCTCAAGTTCCCACCTTGAGATGGTGGCCTTGAGATAAGCTGTTCCTTCACTGCCATCTCTGTGTCTGCAGACCTCATTTCCCAAGCCTCACCATCCTCATTCAAAGAGTTGGTGCCACCTGCCCCTGAAAAGTGTGCATAACTACCTCTTTCATTCCCAGCACCAACCCTTGCGCATTGGACATTTGGGGAAAGCCCCAAAATGAACGGAATGCTCAGTACTGGAATGGGGCAGGTTGGCAGAGCTCCTGTATTTAAATTCCACTGACCTGCTTTTTCCAAAAACAAGTGTTTCTGGTCCTTTTGGATTGCCCCTGGAAATGCTAAATCTCCATTATGCAGGTGGTGGAAGCTAATGGAAAACAGAATTGGTCAGACTGGCTGCCTGCAGAATGGAAGCTGTAGTGGGCCGCACTTGTGAACAGGCAAATGTTGGCTAGTGCCAAATAAACTCTCTCTGTATTTTATAAGTATGCGTGCAAATGCTTTGTCATAAGCTACACTTTTTGACTATGAACACTTTTTGTCCAGCATGTCATGGCTGTTTATAATTTGGCATTAACTTTAATGATTATTCCCTATAATCCCTATAAAAATGTCTTTATAATGAGGTGAAATTATAGGCTTTGTGTGTACAAAATAGACTTTCTTTACTACGCTTCTCTTGCTGCTTTTCCATTAATTTGTTTTGTTTTGTTTTTTTTCCTTTGTAGAGCTGCAGGTTATATGCCACAAAACACCTGCGAGTACTGCTCAGGGCCAATGTAGAATTCTTCAGTAACTGGGGAATTGAGTTACTAGTTACCCAGCTTCATGACAAATACAAAGCCATCTCTTCTGAGGCACTTGATATCCTTGATGAAGCATGTGAAGATAAGGTATGAATGCTTTGTCCCTTTCTTCATGTAGTCATGTATCAGTTCATGAAGTAGCGATTCTACTTTTCAGGAAATAAAAATTGAATGTTTCTTATAAAATGAACTAATATTTCCTGACATTTTCCAAATGAGATTGCCAAAGCAAGGAAAACTCAAACGAAACTAGGAATAAGCCCAAACTATGAATAGTTCACATATTTTTCAAGGATTGATTAAGGGCAAAAACTAATACTATACAAATGGATTCCTTGTGCAATGCAAGTTTGTTCCCCTTTCCCCTTCCCTATCCCCCATTAAGAGAAGGATCCCCTGGAAGATTGAGTCAATCTGTTGGTAGAAAGACCCTGAACCTTAAATATAACCCTATTTCAAAATAAGAGAAAAGCACACATGGTCTGAGAAGCACCTTTTACTATCAACTATTTATCAAAGTAATCTTCACATTCCTATATGTATTGAAATATGAAAATTTGCTGCTGTTCTCCTGCTGTGACTTCAACTGTGCTAATACATGAAGTACCAGTTACGTTTTTCTAAAGCATAACTCCTTCCATTTTTCTCTTTTAGGCAAACCTTCATGCTCTCATTCAAATGAAACCAGCACTGTCTCATCTTGGAGATAAAGGTTTGCTTCTGCTTTTAAGGTAAAATTTAAATACAGTTTTCCACTTGAAAGCAAGCCAGGCAGTTTTTATTTTGATAATAAGTATAGATATTTATAAATGGTATATGATGGTGTTTTTTCAGATTTCTGTCAATTCCAAAAGGGTTTTCCTATTTAAATGAGCGAGGCTACGTGACAAAACAAATGGAGAAATGGCAGAAGGTACAAATAATTTCCTGGAATTCATAATTTGAAATATGTATCATCTTGTTACACTGAGGTATTGCTTTGTAAAGTCAGCCCTACAGTGACAAACAGGACCAAAATCAAGTTAGGAGCAAAAGTAACTCAACATTGCTTCTGATTTCCATAGGAGACACTTTTAAGCACCTACTCAACTCTTCCAGCACAACCAGCAGGTCTTAAAATGTTTATATTCGAGTGTATTGTATTTCAGGTTTAGTGTGCAAGGGAGCTAGATATTTGTCTGTTCTATCTGTCCTTGATATTTGGTTGGAAGGAAAGCTGATGTAACATTTTTTGTTAATGTAAAGTTTAACACTTCATTCATTCATTCATTTTTATTCCACCCAATAGTTGGGACTAGTGCCAGGTCCTAAGAGGATAAATTTGAGTTAGTGTTCATATGCAGCTTACAAATTGACCTATATTTCCTGGCCAGAGATTTTGCTGTGTACTGTATGTAGTTGCATGCATTAATACTTACTTAAAATAATCCTCTCCATAGTCATCCTCTTGACAGGGCAGCTCTACCCCCTTACTTCATGTACTAACTCTATGCCAAGCAGCCACATAACTGCTAGCCCCTCCCAATATTAGCCAAGTTATGACCAGAACTGCTCTGAGAACTGTGGTTGGAGCAGATGGGGTGGGACGGGGGTAAGGCTTTTGAATTGAATTCAACATTGTTCTTCTGAGCATAATGAGATGCTCTTTTTGTATGCCTCAGCATATAAACTTCTGCCTTGCTATAGCTTAAGGGTTTGCTCTGTAGGCACAAAAATCGAGGCTCTGAAGATGGGCACAGGGGAACACCAGCAAGCTGGAAACAGTTAACCACCTTCTCCTATTTTTTATTCCAAACTGCCACTACCCAAACCTTCTGTCCCTTAGAAAAATTAACTGTAGGAGTTATGCTAAAAAAATGTTCCCATGTAACATGTAGTTTTGCCCTTTGATGAGATAGTTTCAACCAAAGAACAGCTCTTTGGCCGCATGGCATAACACTTGAATCATTTCGCTTACTGAATGGGGGTAGTGATTGCATCATCATGAAAGAGAGGGGTTGAAGTGCTGTGAAAGGAAATTCACAAGAAAGATCCAAATTCCCTGTTTTTATAGATAGCAGAGCTTATTTTGTAAAACTGGAGCAGAATTTAAGTACAAATTTTATCATATGAACCGTTAGTCTGAAACAGAAGTCTTCACATTGTAAAGAAAATTAACACATGACAATAAATCCATTTTTGAATTATTAAATATTTATAATTTTATTTGAATTTTGCCCTCTCTAAACAAAAACAAACATCAGCAAAAAACTGCCGAGAATACAAAACAATAATATACCACAAACACATGCACAGAAAAAAAGGGAAAAACAAAACAAAAACACAAAACAGAAAAAAACGAGTTCAGTGACCATTGAACTGATCTTGAAAGTATTATTATTATTATTAATAATAATAATAATAATAATAGAGTGAGTGTGTGTGTGTGTGTGTGTGTGTGTGTGTGTGTGTGTTTTTTCAAACATACACGTACACAAATACTCAAGTTCCTGTTCCACATTAGGTTGAGGTAGGCTGACCGAATGTTGGAATGAATGTTGAGACCGAATGTTGGAATGAATGTTGAGACAAGCTTGCTGTCAGTGGTTTATTCTCTCATAGGTTGCCAGTGTTGTGAGGTCTTCAGTCCATGACATGGTTGAGGGAGATGATTGGTAAAGCACATCTAAACTCTGCAAGATTTCAGTTATGATGACCGAAATAAAAATTTTCTCACTTGGATAGTGGCATAATACTGTATTATGTTTTTTTTTTGCTGAGCTCTGTTTTTTTTATTACCTCAGGAATATAATTTAAAATATGTTGAGTTAATAGAAGAGCAACTTAATGAAGCACTTACCACTTATCGCAAACCTGTTGATGGTGATAATTATGTTCGTCGGAGCAACCAAAGGTAAGCTAATTTATAAAAGACTTTGATTGGCTTGTTAAAAGAATGCCTACATAGAAAACAGTGGTTATGTGGCTGGTTTTGAAACTGTTTATGCAAACAGACCATTTTTCTTTCTACCAGATTACAGCGGCCACATGTCTATCTGCCAGTTCACCTTTATGGCCAACTGGTGCACCACAAAACAGGCTGCCATTTGTTGGAGGCTCAGGTGAGGAAATTTAATATAACTGATTCAAAATCAAGGTAGCATTAAATACGTTACAATGTTCTTTTAATGTATGTATATATTATTTATTGCATTTACTTGGATATTACTGCTTCACAGTTGTGCAGCATATGCTATCTCATAAAAAATTCAAGAGAATCAGAAATTCCTAGGTTATGCATGCTTGCTTGTTCTATGAAATAAGCCTTTGCCAGCACTTTCCAAGTTAACTTTTCTGCCTTGGGGGCTTATGTGTTCTCTGCCTGTTCAAGTGGTGAATATAATGGTTATATAGAGTTCACTTATAGGGCAGAGCTAAAATACCTCTGTTTCTTGCCATCTGGCTCCTGGAACATAGGAAGAACTTTAGTCCATCTAGCCCAGTATTGCCAACACTGACTGACATCAGTTCTCCAGGGTTTTGTTCAGGAGCTTTTCAAGTCCTGCCTGGTGATCCAAGGATTTGACCTGAAATTTTCTGCATGCAAAGCATTATTTTATTTCATTTTTTCGATTTATATCCTGCCTTTTTCCTACAAAGGGCTCAAGGCAGCTTACATCATTCTCCTCCTCCATCTTATCCCCACAACAACCGTGTGAGGTAGGTTGGGCTGAGAGTCTGTGACTGGCCCAAAGTCACCCAGTTGGCTCCATGGCCGAGCGCGGACTCCACCCGGATCGCCTGAGTCCCAGTCCCATGCTCTTAACCACTACACGACACTGGCTCACTGTGCTCTGCCAATGAGCTATGTCTCCTTCATATGGTAATCCAGCCACAGATGTTACTTGATCCACAGAGGCATGGAAATGATCTCCTGAAGTGGAGCTTCTTTGCATCCCTGAGCCTCCTGATGTCTTGTAATCTTCACCTCTTTTTTTCTGTAGGCTCTGAATGTATCCTTCCTGGACCTTTTCCACATGTGGTATTTATCCTTTCAGTCAAGTACTGATAGATAAATCTAGTGAGATGATCATATTCTGTCATACCATTGACATAAGACACCAATCTATTAATTTGAAGAAAATAAACATTTTAATTAATTTTACAGTTACACATTCGTAAGGCAGAATAAATTCATTTTCTGTATTAAACTTGCCTTTAGTAAGCAACCTTAAAACTAGATATGATTGTAACTGCAATAGACATTAAGTCCCTCTTTCCTATCTTTTGAAAGCATTGAATGAGTGTCCTTCAAGTTGTCCTTCAACCCTAAACTACAAGTTGTTTTAACTGTTTGTATCAGAAAGTCTTGGGCTTTTCCTACATAACATGGGAATACAGTGAGCTGAATATGAAGGGGAGAATGCAAAAGGAAGGTTTTTTTTTAATGGCCAAAAGCAAACGCCTGTAGATGACTGAGCATAGCTAGGGATCTGATAAATGAAGAATGGGAGAAAAATTAGTCTTCCTCCTGTAACAACTTTACCACTGTAACAACTGAGCCAGGCTCATCGGATTCAACAGATTCATTCTTTTCATATAAGAAGTATAGAAATAGGGGATACTCTGAACAGGTTTTTCATGCATGTGTTTTTCTATCTAATCATCCTCATTTCCCTGTGTCTGAGCTTCTGGGGAAAGATAAAAGAAACTATGATGTCTGTAAAAAGAGTGTGAATGATTTGTGAGATGCAACAACAAAGAGTAGCTGGTTTATTCTGAAGTGCACAAGTTCTTGTTGTTGTTCTCACTATTTGATGGCATTCTCAGCTATGTTAATTTCCCAGCAATGTTAATTAAAAGACACTTTGAATTGAAGGAATGAAGATTACCAGTTAACCATTTGAGCTGTATTTCTTTCTTTAAAAATTCTTATGACATTGAAAAGAACTTACTTCTGACTATGACTGGTAAAATGGTCCGAGATGACTTTATTCAGTTTTAGTGGTGATTCTTTGACCTTTATGTACTAGTACTCTTAGTTAAATTAGATGCATAACCTATTTGTACTTTGCTTTGGGGATTTATGTGAGCTGGGAAAGTAGTTCAACAGTTGATAGATAAATAAATAAATCTGATCTGTTGAAACTCCTTTGTCATCTATTTTTTATTCTTTAGAGTATTGTTCCTGACCTGAGTTACACAGTTCGGTCTCCCATGCTGGATAAATGGGAAGGTATTAAGCAATTGAAAGCAGCTCTCTGGGCACTGGTTAGTAACAAATATATATCTTTCTATTTTCCATATTTCTGCAACTATAAATGTCAATAAAGTACTTACTTGAACTGTTCCTATTCTAGATATTAACTAAAGATGGGTAAAAGAGCATAAGCATATTTATTTCATGCATATGTTGTCTTTATATTTTTTGTCTTTCTATAATGCTCAAGGCAGCTAACAATAATTCAATTGCACTGACCACTTAAAATCTGCTTCAGCAAACAAATTAGTTTTTGACTACTTGTTGTGTAGCATTGGGATATATTAATTAGATATAACTGTTTGAACAATTAGCCTTTTTCTTTCTTAAAGAAAGCAACTGGGATGTCAGTTTCAAAAAGTAAAGGTTTGAAGGCATGAATATATTTTCTCATTCTCTTTGGCAGCCCTCCCCAACCTGGTTCCCTCCAGTTTTAAACTAGAATTACCCACATTCTTGAACATTTGCCATACTGGTTGCAGATTTAAAGATGTGAAGTCCAAAACATCTGGAGGTCATCAGGTTTGGGAAGGCTGCTCTGTATGTTGCATCAAAATGTTCACTTCTACTGGAAGATTTCTCTTTCTTCACTGGTAGCAGGGAACCTCTAGATACTGCCCTATAATCCTAGCCAGATCAACCATAATTGTATTTTGCTGAGAGCGTAACAGGTGTAAATATAAATGTAGTAAAGAAATTTAAAATGCATTTCTGTATTCATTGGGAAAGTGAAAGAGTAGACTGATATGTGGTCAGAGCATATTTGATTTTGTGATGGTACCTATGAAAGGTTTGACCATAGGTTTTTTAGGTAGTGGCAGTATGGTTCTCTCTGTGTGTGTGTGTGTGTGTGTGTGTGTGTGTGTGAGAGAGAGAGAGAGAGAGAGAGAGAGAGAGAGAGAGAGAGAGAGAGAGAGAGAGAGAGAGAGATCAAGCACTAGTTCAGTATCACTTCAGTGTATTTTATGTCAACCATTTATTGGTGTCTGAACTACTTACAAGTTTGATAACAAATTGTATTACATTTCAGGGCAATATTGGCTCTTCAAACTGGGGTCTGAATTTGCTTCAAGAAGAAAATGTGATTCCTGATATAATGGCACTTGCCCAGCATTGTGAGGTTCTATCCATTAGAGGGTAAGTAGAATAGAAACTTGAAAAATGCTTGGTAAAATATCTGTAATTTTTCCCCTAACTAGGAGTCATTAAAATGATTGAATTTTTCAGTGTTTGGTTTTATTCTTGAAAAATGATGCATGGTTTTAGGAGAAAAAAAAGACCCATCAGAATGACAGAGCTTAGAATTTGTTTTATCATATGTATCACCTTTTTAATTAAAAGCAAGAATATAAGTGAAAAATGTATTGTTTTACCACAAGCTTTTTACATTTTAACCTGAAAATGAATTGTTTGTATGTTGAAAAGTAATGCTGGTTGTTGGTGCTGCACCTTCTGTATCTTTTTGAAGTCACACATACAATTGTTTCTGTGAACCATCTTAAACAGGCATCTATTCCAAAAAGAGTGAAATGGGATATACTTCCTTGGTAAATCCCTAAATGCTACATTGATCCTGTTAGTGCGTAGTGGCACCAAATCATGGGTTAATTAATTAACAATGCATGCTGCTACCATTTTGAGTATAAAACCTCTGGTCAGCCCAATTCAAGATCATTTCTTAACATGGTTTCTTAAGAGTTAATTATGTGTTAACAGCCTACGGTTGTTAACAACCTACAGTTAACCTACATTTTTTCTAAGGTTAACTGTGAGCTTTTCACCCATCGTTTCTGTGTCCACACATCATACGATAACTTCCATTTGAATTAATTGGAAGTTTCATATTCAGGATGGTGGCACTACATGATTTCTGGCAAATTTGGCTTAATTAATCAACTCATAAATTGTTGCCATTATGTGCAAACTGTTTCAAGGTCAGAAAACAAAAAAAAATGTGTATGCATAATATGACAGTGGTCTTTAACTAAAGCTGTATTATTTGGTTTATAGTTATTCTTAAAAATAAAGTATTGACTAATAACATCTTTGAGTAATATACAATGTAGTAAACATAATTATTACTCTTCTGATTTAGTTATTTTTTTAATTTTCTGTATCTGCTTTGATAAATGAGACAATTCACAGTAATCAGTCAAATGTGAATCCATTTTCTTGGATGCCAAGCAACAGTTTCGTATGCTTTTAGCCCACTGATCTCAGTATTGAATTTAGGTCATTCACTTTTACGGACCAACTCAATAAAAGTCTGCTCTTTGCATTTCATGAATAATTATTTACATTCTCTCTACCCCCCCCCATTTTCTGGGAGTGAAGTATACAAAAATATTTTCTATATTCTAACTATAGTTTGTTGCCTGTTGAACCTAAAATATATACCTGTTTGAACTGAAATTCTGTTTCTTAAATACAGGACATGTGTCTACGTGCTTGGCCTAATAGCCAAAACAAAACAAGGTTGTGACATTCTGAAGCATCACAATTGGGATGCAGTGAGACATAGCCGTAGGCAGCCTTGGCCAGTAGTCCCTGATGACATGGAGCAGCTCTGCAATGAACTTTCCTCTATTCCTAGCACTCTTAGTTTGACCTCTGAATCAACCAGTTCAAGGCATAATAGTGAAAGTGAATCTGCACCATCAAGTAAGAATATGCATTGCTATCAAAACAGTTGATGAGCATCCTCCTTCAGATAAACTATAGAAATTATGGCTGTGACATCTGTGCATAAAAGCACTGACCATGTTTGCATGTCATTGTAAACCAGAATCCTGCCATTTAAAACCACAATATGGATGAGCTGCAAGCTGGTTCATTCAATTTGTTTGTTCCTAGTTTGCTCCTGCTCATGCAGGCAGGTGGGCAAACAAAGAATGGATAACTTTGTGTGATGTCCAAACCAAGGAATATGTTCTATTATGTCCAAACCAGGATTTGTGAGCCCATAATAAACCTTAATTTAAAGGTAGCTTGTACCCCAGGTTCAGGTGAGACCCTAAGCTATCAGTGCCTCATTTTAACAGTCCTTATGAGCAGGTCGAGCATGGAGTAGCATGTGGTGGGCAGACTTTCTAGATTTGCAGGATCTTGTTTGACTCGAGAAGTTTGAGACCACCAACTGGAGCAAAGTTTACAGTGGTGGTTCTGGTCAGCATATGCTAAGAATTAAGCAGCAAGGTGCCTCTGAGTACATGTTCAGCACAGTATGTATTTAATGGTATTTTCATTCACTAGCAGAACCAAGCTCATGGGTTGTTTCACATTAAAATCCATTGTTCTTGCGCAGAAATCCACTTTCCTTTCCACCTCATCCCTGAAAATTTTTTCAACAACCTAATTGCAGAAAAAAGAACTTTTTAAAAATTGTTGCTACTGTTAGATCATTAGGAGATTAAAACCCTGGCTGATCAACTGGAAATCATCTAGAGATCTACCAGTAGATCTTAATCTACTGGTTTATTTCTGAATTTATTTCTGTGAGCCGTCCCGAGGCTATATAGCAAGGGGACAGCATACAAAAACTATAAATAAATAAATAATCAGTCAATCAATCAATCATTCTCTTCCAGTAGATCCTCATCTACATTTCCTCACTGGCATGTAGTTCATCCACATTGTGATTTATTAACTAGGATTCCTGATATAAAATGAAGTGCGAATGTGTCCAGTATCTCTTTCCTAGTCTTTTGGAACAGTATTACCTTTCTACTCTTAAAGCATTTCTTAACTTGGGCCCCTCCAGGAGTTTTAGACTCTATCAGCTCTAGAATGTTGTTGTTTCTTACATGAAAGCTGGAAATGCTAATCTAAGTTTGATATTGTAAATATAAAAAGCATGTAATCAGACTGTTTGAGTATTACCTCATTAAAGAGAAGAGTTAGGGAAGTGATTAGGAGGTTGGAAAGTAGGCCTAGAAGAGCATCAAGAAAATAATTAGGCTGACAACTAGAATAGGAGGGAAATGTATTGCTATAATGAAGACATAACAGTTGAAATTACCCTAGCCTATACATGAGAAAGATATTTCGCAAAATAAACCCTGATTATGAAACAAATTCAAGGGAGTATTCAGTGCTGCTGCAATGCCAGTGCTAACAGAGTTACTCTAGCTATGTCACTAGCACTTGCAAGGCAAAGGGAGTCCAAATTATACAAGGTATGTAATTAGCAGTTATTTTAAAAAGCAAATTGCAGGTGTGTGTGTGATATCCTGATCAGGATCCTGCTATGGAAGATGTTTTAGCCAATGCCACTGTCCCTGTCCAGATCAGTGTACTTTTAAAAGCTTTAATAGAGCTGCTAATGCTGTACCTGCTTTTTGATCTAGTCTGAACCTGGCATGCTTGTTAAGATGAGAACATGGAACACTGTACATGAAAGTTTGTTTGTTTGTGATATTTCTAACCTGTCCAGTCACTATGCATCTCTGGAGTTTGAATTACTGAAGAAAATCCCATATCTAATTGCTATTGAAATATCACTTGATATTTGCTCAATTATTCCATACTGTTGCTGAGATCAGATTTAGGGTTGCAAGCTGCCAATAATGTTTAAAATTGTTTTTTTAAGTTATTGTTCCAGGCAAAGTGTATATATGACAAAATAAAATTGCTTTGTAAAGAAATACTTTTTAATATTTACCTTTAATGGTAGGGGAATGTAGTATCCTTCAGATTTTAAATTATGTTAGGGAATATGTCTAATTTACTTAACATGTAGTAGGTTACAGTGTCTTGCAGAAATATTCAACACACACCCTTTGACTTTTCAGAAGTCTTTGGCAGTTCCACTTTTTGACACTGTTACCACTAGATATACTGAAGACACTCAACACTGAGGGTGCAGTGGGTCTTTTATAAACATGATTAAATCTGGGTCCAACCGAATGCCTTTGGATAACTAATTTCAAATTCTGTTTTTCATCAGTCATAAGTGTTTCAGCAATGCAAGTATTTCTTTTAATTTCAGGCATGTTCATTTTGGAAGATGACAGAGTTGGCAGCACCTCCACTAGCACATTTTTCCTAAATATCTCTGAAGACGCAGAACAGATTCCCCATGACCGAGCTGGGTCCTTGAAGGATAAGGATCGCAATCCCTTCCCCTTTTTCTCTTCCAGCAGGCTTGTGAAGAATCGCATCTTAAATTCTCTTACTTTACCTAATAAAAAGCACAGGAGTAGCAGTGATCCTAAAGGTGGCAAGCTGTCCTCCTCAGAGAGCAAGATGGGCTTGAGACGAAATCGTACTGTAACCGAGCCTTCCAGTAGCATGGATTTTACACGGGGGGATGATTTCACCCCAGTATTTCGAGTGCCTAAAATTCACACTCTGAAACTAGAAACATCATTTGTTGGAAGCAGGCACAGTGAAGATGCGGATAGCACTCCAAGTATTGGTGAAAATGACCTCAAGCTGCCAAAAAGCCTCGTCCATGAAAATCACAGGGAAAACACCAGCCGAGAAAGGCTCATAGGAGAAGTTTCCACACAGACCAACTTCAAAAGTCGTAGCTTGAGTTTCAATACGGATACCACAACAAGTGGCATAAGTTCCATGAGTTCAAGCCCTTCAAGGGAAACAGTGGGAGTGGACACTGCAAATATAGACACAGATTGCGGAAGCTTAAGTACTGTGGTGAGTGCCAAGACAGTTAAAACCATCCAGTGTTCAACCCCACAGTCTAACCACCTCCCTCTCTCAAAATCAAATTCCGTCTCCCTGGTACCACCAGGGTCCTCACATACCCTTCCTCGGCGAGCACAGTCATTAAAAGCTCCATCACTTGCTACTATTAAAAGCTTGGCTGACTATAACTTCAGCTATACCAGTTCTCGAGATGCCTTTGGGTATGCAACACTAAAACGCTTGCAACAGCAAAGGATGCATCCATCTTTGTCACATTCAGAAGCCCTGGCTTCTCCAGCAAAGGACGTCCTCTTCACAGACACAATTACTATGAAGTCTGGTAGTCTGGACTCTCGACTTACACCAAACAGGTAATGCCTTTTTTTTCTTCAAAGCCATGCTGCAATTTGTTCTCATGCAGTGGTGAAAGGGGAAAGGCATATTTCATGATTCCAGTTGTTAGAGGTGGCTGGTGGGCAGAGGGTAGGACAAGCTGCCTACGAGCATCACCATAGGAGTAACTAAGTAGAATCAAGGGGTCTGCTGCACAGCTAAGCTATCACACCTAAAGTTAAAGCTCAAAAGTTCAAGGACAGGATGCAGGGAGCAGGTTGCTGACCCATAGAACAGCACAGAAGAGCTCTCTTGGATTTGTGTTTCTTGTTCCATCAGCAACCTGCTGCACAGAAAACTATAAAATAAGGCAAGTAATTTCAGACTTAACAGGTTTAAATAAGAAGAGAGGGTGACCCACAAAACAACATAATAAAATGTGTTTGAACCCGCTCGTTTTTGCTCTCCAGCAAGTAAGTAACTTCATGATTCGAAGTGCAGAGCAATCATTAAAATTAGAACAGAAGAAGAAAAATGAGTGGTGGGGGAGATTAGGTAAAATAAAGTTGGGAGCTCTTAGAACACCCCACAGTTGCTCCTACATGTCAGGGCACCATTTAAAAGAGGAAGGGATAAAAGAAAAATGTGGGAAAAGTAGAACAAATAATAAGCGGATAGGCTTTTCAGTTTTAATAATGTTAGGAGTCATGTGGTGCTCTTTACAAACATGCTCAGAATTAAACTTTTATAAATTAATAGACAGTGGATTTTGCTAGCATAAGTCTGCATTCCATTAAGCATTTTTCTCTGGGTGAATTCTTTGGAAACGTTGCTGATGCGCCAGGTTCAGACAACATAAACCTATCATGGCTAGCTGCCTGTGATGGTTTGTTCTGGTTGCTTCTGTTTACTTAATGTTTGTGCCACTGGAACAATTTTGCACATTCACAGTGTTAAGTATCTTTTGTACAGCAAGTAGTAACAGTGCTTGTTGAATCCATTCCCGTTCCAAGAAGTTATACAACGAAATGTGCAAAAGTCAAAGGCAGGGAGTGTCTGGGTACTTCTGCAAAAGCACTGTAAATCAGGTTGTCAGGAAATTCTTTTGGGATATATCTGAACTGATTCAGAATAGCTGAAGCAGTCATCTTAACCATTTTTAAACTTCAGCTTGGAACTGAAACAGAGCCATAGAAATAAGAAATACAAATCTGAGTCAGAACTGAACTTCTTGAAAACAGCACCCAGTTGCAATGTTTTAACCATGCATATCTCTCTTGCTTTAAACAATGTTTCCTTGAATCACCCTTGAGTAGATAATATACTGAGGGCATGTGCTTTTGGGATCCAGCAAACTGACATTTCATAATGCAGCTAGAAAGAGCAGAAACTCTTGTTTCTGGGATGGAGCAGGTCAGTGGAACTTGTGGAAGGGAGTTCTGCTGGCCTGGCCTGTTCTAGAAACAAGTCTTTTTGTTCATTTCTAGTTCCTGTCACACTTGTAGTTTGTTCCATGGACAAAATGAAACCTGGGGGGGGGGGGCGGTGTTACAGCATTTCTATTGAATACTTCCCTAAGAGGCTGACTGTGTATGCCATGCTTGAAAAACATTGTGGCCGTTGTTGTACAGTCAGGCAATTACTTTGAACATGCACATCCACTGAATCCTTATATTTGTTACAGGTTCATGAGAGCTTTAAGTTATGCATCATCTTTAGATAAAGAGGATTTATTAAGTCCTATTAACCAAAACACACTTCAGCGCTCTTCTTCTGTTCGTTCCATGGTATCCAATGCTACTTATGGTAGCTCAGATGATTACATTGGACTTGCTCTCCCAGTTGATATCAATGAAATATTCCAGGTATATATGCACTGTTTTTATTATACGTGACTGCACATTTATGTAAAGGAAGTTATCATATCAGATGAATTGTTCCTATGCAACTCTGCCTGAAACTCTTATTTTTTATTCTTTGTCACATGTACTGCATGACACTGTGAAGGGGTGAGCGTGGTATAATTTGCTTAACTGACAGCAATATGGAACATCCTTAATAGCATTTTTAAAGATCCCTTAATGTTAGCTACAGTTCCAAAATTCATATGTTTACAAGTAGTAGAAAGGACTTGTTATATTCATAAGCAGTCATCTGCATAATTTTTTAATCTGAAATATTTCAGGTAAAGGAAACTCCTTATTTCCAGAAAAAAACTATGCCTTCATTTGATGAACGAAGTGCTCGAGTCTTTTCCCAAGAAGCTGGAGGTACCGTTTCTTTTACACTTAGTTTTGGGTAACATGATTCCTCTCCAACCTGCTGCCTTCTAGATGTTTTGGATCCCAATTCTCAGCATTCCTGACTGTTGACTATGCTAGCTGAGTGCTGATAGGAGTTAATGACCAAAACATATGGAGGGCCATAGTTGAGAAGGCTGACTTACATTGCTGCTTCCTACCAGTGCTAAGTTTTCCATCTACCGTTCTTTTGGAAGATGTTAAGTTTCTTACTTGTAAGAATGGCCTCAAACTGTGCAGTGATTTGTGCCAGGAAGAACCCTTTCCTTTATTAAACAAGTAATGAAATAAAATAAAGTGAAGCCATCCATGTGTTGTACAGAAAATATGAGGCATGGGGAAATGACAGAATTGTAATGTGGTAGGACATTTCTACACAAGATTCTTAATTTTTTTGTTTCTTCTCAGATTTCTGCATCACCTACAATTGTTCTGTTAATGATTTCAGTAGATCTAGAATTGCTTCTTTTTTGGTGGTGAAAATGGAGAAGACATGTAAAGCAAAACTCTTCATTGTCACATGTTTATATTTGACCATTGTTTGTTTATTCAGTGATAGTATATTTTAGTTGGTCAAGTGAAATGTATTAATATTAATTTCTGCTAATGAATATTCAAGAAATAAAACAATTCCAAAAATGTTATTGCTTATAGTTGAGTACCAACTGGCATTCTTCATTGCATTCCTTTTGCTGTTGCTTAATTTGATGTATTTCCAGGTTTGCCATCTGGTTCTACTGAGATTGTAAAGAGTCCGTTTCAGATGCTTCGTCAACAGATCAGTCTTACAGAGATTATGAACACAAGTCGTTCAGATGCTTCTCAGTTCCTAGAAAATATGGAAGACACTGGACTCCAAGAGCACACTGAAGATAATTGCCTTTATTGTGTCTGCACATACATCCTGGGCTATCAGCATAATAACAAAGAGAACTCGGCATATAGTCACACAGGTGAATACAGCTAGGTTTCCTACACCTGATAATTCCTCGGTCCCTGTCTTGTGGTTCCTGTTCATATATGGCAGGTTAGATGATGGAGGCCTTTTGTGGTTTACATCTTGCCTCTGGTACTTCATCAAACACAGTTCCAGAATGTGTTTAATAGCTATAAGATCTAAGTACCTATATTCAAATTAAATGTGCCCACTGCTATTGAAACTAACATTTTTCTGATTGTTTACTGAGCCAGTAGTTGTACATAGTACCTGTATCTGAAATTAATTACATTAAAATAATTTTCTTTTGCCAGTCATGTTTATAAAACAGTACCCCACATTCACTTGGATCTTCTTTGTGTTTGCCATTCTAATTTCTAATTTACTCAATTTTGTGACTTACATATTTTCTTCTCCTGTATAAACCATCCCCATATGCCTTGTATCCAAATTTATTAGAATTTTCAGACATTCCTTATTCTGACTGGTGTGGAAAGACCATGCATAATCACTTGGATGTAGTTTCCCATTCCTCAAAGTTTTCTGGGATTTCAGGATGTAGTGATGCTGCATCGCATGGATCAGCTAGTAGCACCAAGAGTACAGAGCTTGTCATAGGTAAGTGACTTTATCATAAGCATTTCATGTTGCAATTCTAAGAGAGCAATCCTATGGTTCCTAGATTGCATCTTCAGATTTCCTTTCCCTCCCAGTCCCCACAACCAGCACAGAAAGATCCATGTCAGCTGCTTCTCTAAGGCTGGAAAAATGACCTTAGTAAAGAGAAAAAAGGGAGCAGGCTAGGGGAAGGGAAATAAACTGATGCCACCAGAATGCGAGGTACCCTGGCAGTGCTTTAGCCTCCATTGCTCTTGTGTTTGAAGGACTGCAACTAGATGGCTGAAACTGGCCATCTAATTGGCTTTGCAGAGTGGGATGAATAAGGAGGTGATGATAATCACCTCAGTTTTCTCCACTTGGCAGAGAATTGTCATAAAACTCCCAAGTTCAGAGGCTTTCAGGTAGCACATGTACATTCAGTGGGATTGTCTTTGAATTCTCTGAATATTGTTGGAAGGTTGGATACTGTTATAAGAATGAAAGATACCTGCACCTGAATGTGAACATTTTACACAGAAGTAGTATTAGACCAGTTGTACATGCTCTTCCCCTAAGCCTACTGGCGATTTTTTACCTTCTAGTGTACTGCCTTACAAAGAAGGCAAGACACAGACGAGAAGACAATAATGCTAGGAGAAATCAAATGCAGAAGAAGAGGAAGGCCAAATATAAATGATTATCGACTCCATAAAGCCAGAGCCTGGAGTTTACAAGAGCTGAGCAGGACTGTCAAGGACAGGGCATTTTGGAGGCATTCAGGGAGTCGCCATAACTCTGAGATGTTGAGAGCATGTAACATTAAAGTGTGGCCAAAATTGCACCAGTATATTTGCTGCGCAGTTGATGTGTGTCCTGCTGGGACAATTCAGGCTTTACTCATTCACCAGCCTGCTCCTTCTCTCCTTCCCCAAAACCCCTCCCTTCTGGAATGGGGCTTTGAGCTCGCATTCCTTACCTCCTTGCTTTCTATGAATGAAAATGAACACCAAACCAGTTGAATCAGTATTAGTTATCCCTAGATACTGAACCCATTCACAGGGATGAGGAGAGGAATTAACCTCTGAACAATTTTTTGGGCTTTGTTTAAAAAACAATATTTATTTTTTATTTAGAATTTTTGTGTGCCATCCCATCTCTTATAGCCTTGGGACAGCTCACATAAATAAATTAACATAATACATTTAAAAACCCAGAAACACCCTGGCTGCACAATTAAAACCTATATAGCATTGTTAAAATATTGTTTAAATAAAAAAGTCTTAGCCTTGCACCAAAAAACAAATAATGACGGCGCCAGGCAGACCTCTCTGGGGAGCGCATTCCACAGATGACAGGCTTTGTCAGATTGCCCCTTGATTTTAATCTAATACCATATCAGGTTTACATACTGCCAAATTTATTTTTCCCAAGGCGTAAAGTCAATTCCAGACGATACTCCAGTATGCCGCATTCTACTGAGAAAAGAAGTCTTGCGATTAGTGATCAACTTGAGTAGTTCAGTAGGAACTAAAGGTCATGAAACAGGTCTCTTGACGTAAGTAATGCTCTCTTCTTGCTTTGTTTCTAGTTTTCTACAAGTAGTCAGTATACCTGTTGACCTTGGATAAGGAAGGCAGGGGAAAGTGCGGCAGGTGTTACACTGACTAGCTTCAAAATGTTATGGGAAAGAGCAGATATGGGTGAGCTCTTGGCATTATCAAATCTTCTGCTGCTTTGCCGTATGCACAAGAGGATACAGTAGGAATATGTTAGAAAGGATATATTCCAAAAACTTAGATTAACAGCAGAGTGTTGTTATAGGTTATATGTGACCTTGGAGGAATGCAGAATACCTTACTTTTCTTACTTGCCAGTCCAGAGCAGCTGGCAGTTTTGAAGGGTGCAGGAACCCTTTGGATCTTTGTTAAAGTCATGGCCCATCAGCCAACTTTCACCCCTTTTCTTTCCTATAACCCCAACAAAGTTATTTGCTATCCAGGATTCTAGAGGTAAGCAATAAATTATTTAGCAATAACCATTTCAGTAGTTGAGCCCTGTCTTAGAGCTTTGATGCTCTTATTGCTTAGTTACTGCTGTGATTTCCTGAGAGTTCTGAAATGACAAATGAATTCAGGAATATATGCAAATACAGTAGCTAGGAAAGAAATGGAGTTGAAATGTGTGTACCTGCAGTAACTGCTACAAAAAAGAATTGTGCAAAAAAGTGAGAAGTTACTATTTTCTGGTTCTGGAGCAGCTAGAACCTCAGGAAATGGTTGAAAAGATGAAGGGCACTGAGAACTGTAGTGCAACACTAAAAATGGAGAGGATCACACTGCTGAATGGGAGATATTGTCACTTTTTGGTGCACCTTCTTTTGTCACCTTTTCCCCCTTTACAGTGTTACTTCATTTTACAACTGGCAATTTGTCCCTATTAATTCTGCACAAATTATGTAGCCTGTGTGCAGTTCCAACTTGTCAATTGCTTTGTCTGCTACCTGTTCTGCTTTTTCTGCTCCTTTAACAGCTGACGAGGAAATTGACCAGACAACACTGCTCATGTGGGACAGCCATAAAGAACGTTTGTAAAATATAAACAAAAGTAATAGTAATAATAAGGAAAACAATTATCTCGCCTTCTGGAGAAAAATTCTTCTGAAAAGAGATTTTCAGAACCCAGTGTTCTGATAAAAGGGGAAAACAGTGGTGGGTTAGTGATAATCACTCTCAAATGCAGCTTGGCTTTGGTACTGGTAGCCACATGGAGAAGTTTGGAAAGAGGAATAGAGGTTTTTGTTCTTCTTGCCAAGCAGCTCACTAGCTGGTCCGTGGAGCACACAATAAAATAGTTCTTCTGGGTTCAGATGACATGACATTAGCATCTGTGAGGAATCCATTTAGGGGTGGGGATCTGTTGGATTCCCTGGGCTCAGATCCCTGGATTCCAGTGTGCCTTGCAGTGCCCCGGAGTCTCAGTTCCTGGCAAGCACACCCAGGGCACTTATGTCCCTCTGCTGTGCTAAATGGCTGCTGCATGTAGGATGAAAGAGGGACACTGCCTGCTCAGCAGCCATGTGGGGCTCTGTTCCTGGCAAGCCCTGAAGGACTGCTAGCAGCATCCTTCTGTGCCACATGCACCAGCCTGTGGGATGCTGCGCTTGACGTGGGAGAAGGTTGCTAGTTGTGCAGCCTTCTTTCCACGAGCATTTGCAGACTTCCTCTCAGCTTGGCTTGCTTTGCAAGTCTGGGCCAAGCATGATAGGAAGTCCGTGAACACTAGATAAAGGGATGGTTTCCTCTAGGGTTCATCCCAACCCTATGCAACATTCCATCATGGTATGAAAAACCCGTAGAACAAGGGGTAGGTGTCAGGGTTGTTTTTTTCTGAAAAATAACTCTGCAAGAAGTTTCTTCCTAACATGGCAGTTGGCTGCCCTATGGCCCTTCCCTAAAAGAGAAGGCAGCCAATTGAATTGGGATCCAAGCGGTATCCAAGGGGCTAGCCCATCTCAAGGCCCGCTGTTCTACAACTGCTAACAGCCTCAGCTGACAACTTTAATATTTCTCAGGGAATAGAAACCCCACAGTGAAACTGTACTAAGGAAACTGGAACCAGAGAGCCTTGTCATCTGAGTGTGATGTCTGCAGCCCTCTTCCCCCTTGCCAGAGCAAAAAGCCTGAATGAAAAGCCAGCTTGAAAGTAAAGATTCAGCCATGGCAGAGAAGCCATGGAACTGGACAACCAAAAGAAAACCAGATTAGTGAGTCAGTGCCTAGGCCTAAGGCACACAAAAATATTCACCTGATTAATTAATGCAAGATTTTTTTCTTTTTGGGGGGGGATTGGGTAGGCCAAGTCCAGTTTGCCCAATGCAAGAGACTCTGCAGTCTAAAATAAATATATGAGAATGTTTTCTGTTCCACTATCACATGCAACAAAACAATGTGAGGCTTGGATCTGTGTGGCTCATCGGCCACTTTTTAATACAGTTCCCATCAAACTTCAGAGTAAGGAGATACTGCCTCAGCTATAAACATGTCAGTTGCTGCTATCAAGATGAATACTCTTGATCCATGAAAGAAATTTGGCAAGCTAGTTCTTACGGCATAGGGATGGACTATTAAATATAGTTAGTTGCCATTCCCAATAAGTAAGAAAGATCCCCAGTTAAATAAGACCTCAGTCGCTTATTCTTTGTGCCGGATTAACCCAAATTGCTCCTCAACTTACTCTTCTCAAAAAGGAACAGATACTGTACACCAGTTTTCCTTTGGGCCCTTTTCTTCTTGTGTGTAGGATGGTGGTATTTCAGGAACATCCTGAGGATCCTAAACCATATTACAAATCACCTGATTTCCTCATAAAATTACCATGTTTGATATATTTTAACCATTTATTTTTTCAGACAGTAATTCCAAATGTATTGAGTACTTTCCAGGTTTTTTTAAAAAAATAATATTAATTCTATAAGAAAACCAATCTGTATATGATACATTTTATGGTTTAAAGATAACAAAATAACTTGGCATCTGTTAAAGACCCTGAAACAATAAATGCTGCATTAAAAAAAAAAATCCCAAAATTTCTGTTTTTTTCCCCTGAAACTCACTGGGAAAATATCTTTTTTTCCAATGACTTCAACATTTTTCAAAAGATTACATCTCTGGTAAGATCCACACATCCATGCAATCTACATCTTCAGCTATTTCCACATCTGCTTTTGTCACTCACTACCAATAAACATAATGTTTGAATCCAGCACCTTTTAACAAGGGTTTGAGCATCTCTTGCTCATGTCACAAGTGCTGCAGTGGTTGTGAGAATGTGTCCTTTATCATTTCATGCTTTTTTTTGTTCTGTATTTGCTGGTTCATTCTGTACTTTTTTCTTCCTCTTGTACTTCAGATAATTATTTCCTTAGGTGTCCCCTTCACAGGTTTGCATGGTACGTCAGTTTTCTTCCCTAAAGGCGTATGCTGTAATTGTTGTAACAGTCATTTATGATAGACAATAAATTGCTTTCTTTTTTCTGACTAGAATTAAAGAAAAGTTTCCCCAAGCATTTGATGATATATGCCTTTATTCTGAAGTGTCCTACTTGCTAGCTCATTGCACGTTTCGATTACCATCCCGACGGTTCATACAAGAGCTCTTTCAAGATGTACAGTTTTTACAGGTGAGCTGAAGTAAAATCCAGTAATGCTGTGACAGGCTTCATCTGGGTAGGTGTCCCAGTATAAATTATCTTGAACATTCTGTAGTAGAAGCACACACTTGCACATTAGTATAAATTTAGAACAAATTCACATAGAGCCATTAAAAAATCAGATTCTGTCAGTGAGCAGACAAAGGAAGAGAAGATGTCTGACAACCCATACAGAGCAGACAGAATAATGAAATCCATACATCTCTCCTGTTTAACTATATTTTTCTTCTAGATGCATGAAGAAGCAGAAGCTGTTCTAGCAGCACCAGCAAATCAGCAAACAGTTAACCCATCAACAGAATCCTGACCTCTTATTTTCCATGGTCTGCTAACAGTGAAGTTGCTGGTAGCCTTGGATAACTTGTAACTGACTGGACAGTGAAGAGAGAAGCATCATCTGCTGAATTATTCCCAGAGTTCAGGGTACATGCAATTGGAGTCTGGGCTGCAGAACCTTCCCTCAGTGGAACTTGGTTCCCCAGCTGTCTGAGCTCTATGGGGAGTTGTTAAATGAAAGTAACAATTACCAAGATATGCAAGAAGAACCAAGCACCAAACACTTGCGCAGGTTTTCATTTCAATTATTTTTAAATGCAGAGTTATAATAACAGAAGACAAGTGTGCAGGGACATGGTTTTACATGGTTGACTTTGACTTCCATTCTGGACAAAGAGTGATGCCTTGCTTGGTCATCCTGAATGAAGTCAGGGTATCTTAGGCTGTATCCTATTGTCATCAATGGAGCATGCGCTAACAGTGGACGTTGGGGGATTAATTACGGGCCTTCAATGAATCTTTTTCTTAATTTTTGTGAAACACTACTTGGGAAATTTCTGATCTTGGTGACAGAGAATCCTTAGTAACTTGGGGCAGTCTTAAGTTATTTTATTGTTAAAATAGCAAGCATACTTGTTAATAGTTTTGTTGCAGTCATATGTAATGATGCATTAACTGAACCAGTTAAGGAATTTCACTACAGTTTGATTTTAAATGAACAAATCACTTATCAGTCCCCTAGAATCAGATTTTCTCTGTACATATAATGCATGTATTTTTGGTGGGGTTTTCTACATTAATGCTCATCTAGTATGGAAATTGGTTGTCTAGATGTATAACAAGCATGACTTCTGTCAGATAAGGGTGCGTACTTTTATCAAGTAAAACTAGAAAATATATTCCTATTGCTGCTTTTGATCAGGAAGGATACAAAAACATTAATTTCTACATTCCATGGCTTTAAATTTTTTATCTTTTTGCTTCAATCATACATGTGGATGGTTAATTGCAGGATAATACTGGTAATTGTAGTGAAAAGCCTTAAACATGTAATGTTGAAGTGAACGCTATTTTGCTTTAATCCAGAGTTCTTTCAGAGAACTTTGCACAACTTATGTATGGTGATAAGGCATAGGTCAGTTCCCCCACACCCTTAGTAAGATTCTAAAATTTATCTAAGTACGGACTTGAAACAAATGCATCTTGACCCCATACTAAAAGCACCCCCAGGAAACAAATAACTGATATATGCAAACTTGTACATACAATTTCCCAGTCACTTTCTTTACAAAAGCTGTAGTGGACTGAGGTTGCTCCATAATTTCTGGTGTGTAAAAATAGTTCAGCTGGACTGTACTGAGAAGAATATTTCCATTCACTTTTACCTTCCCACTCTCTTTAAAAAATAATAATAATGCAAGGATTTGCTTGACAAAGTGGAATTAGCTCAATTTTTCATATCCCTTATCTGAGCTCAGTACATGTGCTAAGAAATATATTTATGGTAGAATTTGTTCATAGAGGCATGTAACGTTATTCTTTTTGTTGTATGAAAACTGTGTCTAATTTATCCCTACTGCCACACCTAAAATGTTTTTGCTCCACAGTTCCTAGAAAGAAGGTAGGTGAAAAAAATAATAATAAAGGAAAAGACACCTTTAGGAATATTTCTTTGGGTCCCACACAAATGTTTGTCTCAACAGAAGACTGCCAAATACTTGAAGCAGTCTTCCTTTTCCCAAGCAGAACAACTTCATTTTGTGGTTTCTCCTGAGTCTCCTCTTTGCCTAGGCTCCTTGCCCTTTCTTTGCCTAGTAGATGGAAGGCTAAGTCAATCCTCCACCAATTTGTTCCTGAGGTCTGAAAACCATGAGTGTACAGTGGGTGAATCTGTGCTGTTTTCTCCCACAGTTGCTATCTCCAGTCCTTTTCCAGCATCACACTCTAAGCCTCTAAGAGAGGTATAGAAAGAGTTTATCTGCAAATCAATTGTGAGTAAACTCCACCCACAGCCAATTCATTGTTACCTGTAAATGAGATTTAGCTAGGGCAGTCTACCCCTACCTCCTCCAAATGGTCAGAGGTCTGCTCTTGAGTTTATTTTTACATACCTTGCAGAGCCTCAGAGCCTTCAGTTACTCTGCTTCATCAGACAGTGGAGCACCCCTGCTCCTCAATTCTCTGCCCACCTGTGTGAAGCAAAGAATTTCTAATCAGTCTAATAACTGTACCCCTCTGAGGTGAACAGGTTCAGGACCTGTGAGGTTGGATACCTTTCTGAGAAACATTTCCTACTGGGAGTTGGAAATGAAAGTAGTTTCTAAACCTTTAACCAAATTCCTTTCCTTATCACCTTATTAGCTCCTTACATCTGTAAAAGATCCAAAAGAAGGTTCCTTTAGAAAATAAAAATTAACATGTATTATTCTTGCTACAGATTCCTTTCTGGAGAATAGTGAATTTTTCCAGATGGTGAGTTTTCCAGATTTCCAGGACAGATCTTCCAGCAGATAAGAGTCCACAAACCAGACTTTTCCACAGGCTGTCATAGACATGATGTGAAATGCTAACACAAAACCCCTAGCCAGTTATTAGTAAAATATCTCCATCTTCTTCTTAACTTTCTAGCTCTAAATACCTTCTACCTCCAAGCAGGAGTTTACATTATCTCTTAATACTGCTTCATCACATTTTGGGACACGAGTGGCAGATAACCAGCTTACTCATTTGCATCAGTCTGGTCTTCTCCAAATTATTTGGGTAGATTGCTACAGTATTCCCCATATATTGGAGCAGAGATAATACAGACAGCTGCCATCAGACTTATCTCTAAAATGTTCTTCTTGTGATAACTGCTATTATTTTAACTCACTATTTGGGAATAAATACTCCTAAAGGAACATTACAGGCTGTGGGTTTTTAGAAATGGTGACCTTCCTACCTTTGTGCTTGTCAACACCTCTCTGACTAGGAGCTTCCTTTCCATATGACCACGCCTATTATGTTTTTATTTTTAATACCTTAAAAAAGATTATTTTCCTTTAGTTTGATACTTTTTGAACTTTTCAATTAGAAAGCTGAAGGGACTGTAGTGCTCCTAATGTCAGTTCTCCCCATTTTTCCAGTTCTTTCTCCCCCCCCCCCAAACTGTGGAATAAAGCCCTCTGTTTGGAGTGGCAGCAGAGATAATTCAGGAAGGTTAAGTAGCAAGTCAGAACCCAGTGGGCTGTTTCTTCCCTTCCTACAGCTTTGGCAATGTGCTTTTGCTATCATTTTGTATAATTTCTGGAACACCAGGAGGGCCATGAATGGGGGCTTTCAACAGGATTTAGCTCTCTCGAGCCTTGAAGACTTTTTGAAATTTGGGGGAAGAGATAAAAGAAAGGGCTTCAGCTGCTGTAACCGTAGAGAATTCATTCACATCCATCAGTATTTACAGAGGGATCTTTTGGTCTTTAATGCAACTCCTTTGCAAAACCAAAATAAAAGCCACTGTAGACCAAATAGTGGTATAAACTCCAAAGGACTAATGTAGTATTCCCAGCAGAAGCAGAAAAAGCTGATCAACACTACCTCATTTAGGATAGAATAATAAGGTATTTAGATTATTAATTCTGGTGGAGTTAATCCATTAACTCTGTAGTTTATATTTTTGTTTTCAAGGCAAAAGTAGATGTGGGTATATTCTTTTTTATGTATCCTAATAAAAGAATCTCCAGATGGTTACACTTTCTGACTACAGCTTTTAGTGAAGGGAAAATTAAAAAGAAAACTGAGGTAGTAATTTGTATAGCCATTCATTCAGACAGCAATGCAAAACTGATTTGTCACTCTTTTTTAAACACCAAGAACTCCAGCTTCCATCCAGAATATGGCTCTGGAAGGGCTTCCCCCCCACTCCCTCCCCCCTCTGTGTGTGTGTGTGTGTGTGTGCGCGCGCGCGCGCGCAAGCGTGTGTACGCATGCTTGTGTGTAACTCAACAGATTTTAAATGTGTAGAGCAGAGGTGGGCAGCTTTGAAGGGTTTGGGAACCTATTTCTACCCATCTGGAACTGCATGCCGCTCTTGCTACTACTGGGAAATAATTGCCATTAAAACAAGGCATGCCTTGTTTTAAAAGGATAATGTAGCAATCTCAGTTTGAGAGGCAGCAGAGGCCACAAAACAGCTGGAGGTGACATGCTGCTACCTTGGTGTAGAAAATGTAATAATCAGAACTGAATTCTTTTCACATGCCATTTTTGCTTAATTTAATGGAATAGATAAATGATATTCTGGAACCTGACACTTGGATGGGAACTTGTATGTTTTGTATTGAGATTACTCATTGGGGAAGTTCCACCTAAGACCAGTCAGTAAGATCTCCTTTGATCATCACTCCTGTACATCTTTTGACCCATGAGACCTAATCTGAATGGCTGAATTCTGCTTTTTTATTTGAGAACCTGTGTTCTTGTAATCCAAGGACATGCAGAGCAAACACAGTTAATTGAGCTCCTAGTTGGCTACTGTGGATTGGTCACAGCTGGTAGAAGAGTGCATTTGCTCTGGAAGATCAAACAATATGCAGGCATACGAATAGTTCAGTGACCACCAAGCCCAAAAGCTCAGGGAGTTTCCCCTGAAAGTAAGACATATGTCAAATGAGAAAGTGCTGCACTTCATCATCTTTTAGGTTTATGTGGCAGTACATGCTGTGCTTCTCCCACTGTAGTTCCCTGCTGCCATTCAGATGGATGGGGAACTGTAGGCTTGGCTGGAAGTTTGTTTGTGATAGGTTTAAGATACCCTAGTCTTTCCAGAAATCCCTGTGTGAATTCTCCCCATGTGGCAAAGTAAATTCACAAAAAAATAAGTTTAATGCTCAGAAGTAATCCTCACAGTATGCAGCATTTGATTATATCTTGGGGATGTCCTTAGAGTGAGTGAGTGAGTGAGTGAGTGAGTGAGTGAAAGAGAGAGAGAGAGAGAGAGAGACCCTGTCCAGATTTTTTTTTCTTGTTGGTGGCAGGGGATTTTGACTGTCCCAAAGGGATCATTATCACATTCTGTGTGTTCCAAATGTAAATTAAAGAATTCTATTTTTTGTGAAAGAGAATTTAGTGATTTAAAATAGTAATAAGGCTCTGTTGTGTTAGATTTGTTCCTCAAGTTCAGTAGCTCCAGTGTTGAACTTGGGGACCCCTTAGGTGTATACATAGCAGTAACCTGCTTTTAAGAGAGGATTCAAGAACCTTAGAGGTTCAATGAGCAGAGAATTAATTTTAAATCCGTAGGAACATAGACTTGCATTCCAAAATGCTCCTCTCTTCATGAAAAGAAAGGGCAATTTCTGCCACCTTTCCCTCCATCTGCAGCTCTCCACATTGTAGGTTAATAATGGGTTAAACAACCCATAGTTAACCTAACAGCTCCTTGCAAGTTAGCTGTGGATTTTTAAACCGATGCTTAGCTCATGGTATCCAGGTTAGATGACAAGGAGCAAATTCCAATTAAGCATATCAGAGGTTGAATATGCAAAATGGAGTTAGCGTGTGCTCAGAATGCCCTGTGGTAAATTGTGGGATTTGCTGCTGTTCTGTGTGAACCAGATTATTATTTATAATGACATTTGACCAAAGGATATAGCCCTGAAAAAATAAGAAAAATATTCATTTTCATAACTCCCTTTTTTAGGCTCTTATTAAATAAGTGCCATTAGTTTTCATTTCCCTTAACTTTGTTTGCTAGGAAACCGCATACTGAAATACCATAGAATTTCAACATCATCTTTTAAAATGCTGTTTTTGGTGTGAAGATGAGGATATTGGATGGACTCAAGCCATGTTCAGGCATTCAACCTCAAGACAATGAAGGCACGAAGTATGTAAGGGCCAGATGTATGAGAGAAAGAGAAAAAGAGAGAGGGTGTGCTTGGCCTACCCTGCCTCCAATCTTTGTAGGTGCATTGGCACTGTCCTTTCTGCTTCTGACATGCTCAGCGAGTATAAAAGCTCGCCTAGGCTTTGCAGTCACACATCAGGACCTGGAGATTGCAGGCCTGTCCCTCTACACACTTGGTGCCTTCGTGCATTCAGGCTGAACACTGGAACAGGGCTAGTCGGAAGTTGCTTTCTCTATATTCTGATATATCTGTGAGTCAACAAAAATGCCCTTCAGGTACGATTGCTATCAGCAGTGCTTTACAGCAACCTTCCACAACCCAGTGCTCTTCAGGACTACAACATCCATCATCTCCAGGTAGATCTGGAAGGCACTAGGGTTAAAAAAAAACCTGCTCTATAGTATAAGGAAGAAGGCACTTTTGATGACAACCCTATAAATGATCATCTGCTGCTTTTTCCAGCGGCCTTTTGAAGATAAAGGGCCTCTTTGCACATCAGTACAAGCCACCTGCAGACCCTTTCTAGGGTGATGCAAGAGTAATTGAATCCTTGCATAAGTCCATGGTTTACATGATGTGACAAACCGCAGTATCTGCCCTTTACAAGCCATGGTGGACTGCAGTGATAATGCAAACTGGGTCTCTGTAAAGTTGATGTCCCACTTGTCAAGTGAATGTGTTTCAGGTAGAGGGCAGGATCCAGTCCAAGTGAGCCACTTTTAGAGGTGCTTAATTTAAGTGGAATCTTGCCTTGAGTGTGTAAATCCCATTTTACACCATTCTAGGGAAAGGAATGCTTTTTGAGATTGCCTCCTGCAATAACCCCATCTAACCTTCCTGCTTGCCCTCATGTACAGAATAACATGACACTGTATATGGGCATGTGCTTTACAGACTTTTCAGTTACTGTACCTTGTTATTATGTGAAGACTAAGGGTATATGAGTGATGATGGGAACATGGTAGAAAACCTCTTAGCAGCTCTCCTTTTCTAGAAATCATAATAGCCCATTTTTGATTTCAGGATACTATTGAGATGGATTTTCTTAAAACTCCAGATTTGCTACATATTTTTGTTAACCTTTTTTTAAATTTTCAGTAAAAACTGAAGAATGTGTTTTTTCTTTTGACTATTTTTGTAAAATAAGTGGATAGCAGTGCCACAGCATGCAAAAATTGCACTTTTTCTTTGCTTGACTTGCTTGTAAAATAGACACTATTTAATGTGGAAAAAATAATTTATGCCAAAAAACAAAGAAGTAACTTGCCATTTTGCGACTGCATAGGTTAGAGTAGCACAAAATGCAAGAACTTGGGGTGGACATAATTGGGGAGGTGGGGAGAGATGTGCTTTGAATAGTGGCTGCCATTAACCCAAATGATGTGTTCTACTAGAGATGATGTAAATTACTTGTTCTGAGGAGGGGAAGAGATCATGAAACTTCAAGACTCATTTTCCCTGCCCCATGTGGTCACATTTTCTTTTATATATATATTAGTTGAGAAGCTGCTACATATTTGGAAGTTCTATTGTTTGTAGGTCACTGAATGGACATTGAAATCTGATTTATATTGTATACCTGTAACATAGAAAGAAAAAAAGTATTTATATATTTTCTGTATGAATATTTCATTGAGCTGTGTATAATTTTGAAGAGGCTTTGTCCCAAAATGGTTCTGCTCAACCTGATTTTTTGTTGTTGTTTTCTTTTTTCTTTTTTTCTTTTTTTGGTTTGGATTTTTGTTTTGTATAGTGTGTACAGTTCATGTCTATAAACATTAAAAGCCTCCTGAAGCATTATCTTATCAAAGGGATGCATTGTTAATAAAATGGACTTAAACTTTATACTGTTGCCTTGCCAGTGAATGTAGGTCCGTGTTTCATCGTATCCCTCCATGCAGCATGCTTTCCTGTACACCTGACTGGCTAGTCTCACGGCAGATTTGTGCGATAAATCCGTGGGGCAATAATCAGCAATGTCTCAGCACTTCCACTGAGAGCCTTGTGCCAGCTAGTCACAACAGCAGCACAACTGGAGATTAGCCTGCCCCAGCCCATGGTGCATACTCCTCTCTCTCTCAAGTATTTCATGTTTTAAAGCTACCTGGAGTTTTCTTTCTGCCCATTACGTGGCATTGCACTCTGAGTATGAGTTGAACTCCTGAAATTATCACTGAAAAATTGTTTATCTGGATCTAGTATATGTAGTGGTGTAAAAATTCTGAGTCTTTAGGCCAGGAATAAACAAGAAGTAAACCCAGGAAATCTTCAAAGTGGGAAAGGCATAACCACCCTATTTTCACACCACACGGACATGTTCACATGTACATGTACAAACCCAATTTGATTCATGCTGGGCCCAGGGGGCATTTTTCTGGCTCAAGCAGGGAAAATACTTCATTTCTGGTATTTTGCCTGACGAGAGAAAGCGGAACCTGAGGAAAAAGCTTGTGGTCTGGATAAACAAACTTTCTTGTACTTGAAGGCTGCTGTCTGAAATAATTTTGTTCTTTTAAAGTAAAGAATTCAGCCACTGATTTCTGGAGTCAAAAGATTTTGAACATTATTAGGGGTTTTTGGTATAGTGCATTAAATAAACTAAGGAGCGTACCGCACTCAATGTCTGTGTATTGATGAGCTGTAGGATGGATGGGAGCAGAAATAATAATGATTAGACTGTGTAGAACTGACAGCAATCTCTTTTTCGTGGGGTGGGGGGGTTCTCTGCATTTCCATCCCAAAATCAGCCCTCTGGTTAGCATCATGGTAATAAACCTTTTAAAATGGTCAGTCCACTAAAACTTGAAGAACTTGATAAAGTACAGCAAATAGAATTGAACCTGCCTCCTGAAGTCCTTTTAAAGTAAAGTAGGCCTTACAAAGAGAACCTGTGGAGACAGGACAGCATCTGGGGCGAGGGTGGGGGGAATATTTTTCAGGTTCTTAGATCCAAGGCTGGAGACAGCTCCAACCTCAGTGCTCTGGATCAAGGTTGGAGACAGAACTCTGACCTCAAAGCTGGTGGTTTATGCTTGGAACCCAGGAAGACCCATTTCTCAAAGGTCATAAAGGTGACCTTGGGCAAGGAGTAAGGGGAAGTTCTGGGAGGTGGGGAGGAGCAGAGATCACAATGAGATGGAACATTTCCTGGCATGCCCCCTATCATTACTGAGCTCAAGGGGTTCTAGCATGGATATCCTCACTGCTTGACGTTAGGAATGACAGAAATTTGTTCATTTGCATTTTAATGCAAATTTATATGATTTGCATTTCCCAAACTACTAAATGTAATATTATTTACATACATACAAATATGTGTGTGAGAGAATATTCACACTCCTGATATTTTTCAGTGCAGTTCTGTAATCAAAATAAGCACACAATAGCTTGAATAATAGTGAAAAAGAGGAAATGGCTTGAAAAAAGTGTATACAGAAGTGCATATATTAGTGAAACATGCATGGAATGCATATTTTTTGTGTAGAACTCACAAGCTGATGTGGACACTGGATCGAATGAATTTAACATCCAGAAAATGGAGAACTGAACTAAAATTTACAAATACATCAATTTCTCTCTGATGCATGCTGTGAGGGTTACCCAATGAAAGTTCCCTTTTATATAAACTCCCAAGCTAGGGAATACCAGTTGGTCAGCTCTTGATTGGGGAACTGAAGTTCTCTTTTGAATGGTCTTTTCCTCTTAGACCCAGGGGCACTGAATCTCTTTCAGCCTGATAGCCAAATGCCATTTCAGAAAATCTCAAGGGGCACATTTCAGTAGAAAGGCAGTCTAAATGCAAAAAGGGCAGAACAACATGCAAGCATATTTCGGCATAAAGCTCTTATTGCGAGTATCTCAGTCTTAAGAGAGGCATTCCAACTTTTTAAAATGCAAACAAATCCACAGCAAAGCCAAGAAAGCACTGCAGGCTAGGAAGTCAGCAAATGGCCAGAGCCATGGGAAGAGGGTCAATCAATGGGCAGCTGCAGATCCTGAGATATTGCATCCACCTTAAGTTGGAAGTTGGAAGAGACTATATGAAGTACACTCTTATTTTTTCCAGTAATGCCACTGGGGCAGGGCCATCTTAACACATGGGCCTGATGGGCACTTGCCCGTGGGCCCCATACTAATCCGTGTATGTTAACCCTTGGAAAATTGGAAAACTTCCAAAATTAACAGTAGTTGTAGTTGTCATAGGGGCCCCAGTACACACTGCTTTGCCCAGGGCCCATAAAGTTGTTAAGACGGCCCTGCACTGGGGTTCTGCCTGAGAGTGTAAGGCTGGCAGGGAACCGATATTTGCTGTTCAAGGGAAAAAGGGGAATAAATTATAAATTTTACAGGCTATAGATAGGATCACTTTGGGTTCTGAAAAAATCTGAATAGCATTGGGATATAAACATTGACGTATTGATTGGATTGGATTTGTACCTACCATTCTACCAAAATGGAAAGTACTCAAGGTGGCTTATTAATGGCCATAGAGTTGTAAAAGTGGCAGATCCTCTGCCTTCCCAGATCATATGGAACCAAGTGCATCATGTTTGTTCTGTAAATTACTGAGGTAACATTTGGTTATAAAATAAGATATATTAAAAAAAAAATAGGCTGCTGGTAGCTCAGCAAGTTTGCTGACATACCAAAGAATTGCATCTTCTGGCTCAACAGTCATGCACAAGCTTGGTCAGAATTACAGCTTGAACTGGCTCAGCACTTGGATTGCCAAGAGTCCTGCTTTACAGAAGACAGTCTTCTACTTGAAGAACTGTCTAGTCCCAAATCTGGTGAAAAGATAACTATTGAGGTAAAACAGCATTCTTTAATTTGCCCATCAACTTGGACAGGGGTCAGCAACCTTAAACACTCAAAGGGCCATTTGGACCCGTTTCCCACAGAAAACACCAGGAGCCACAAAATCCTTTTGAAATCTAAAATGAAAATAACACTGCATATATCGTTTTTTACCTTTATGCTATGTATAAAAAAACTGTAGTGTGTTGCATTTATGAAATCAATGAACTGCTGCAGAGAATACAAATTTTTATTTCTGCATGCAACAAAAACATTTTGAACTCCGAAAAAAAAAGACGCTGGGTTGAAGGTTACTTTCAAATAAAATAAAGTCTATTTGAGTTCTCCTCGTGTTTATGAATGGCTTCCCGTGCCTGGCTATTTCCTGAACGGCCACAAAACTAGCATATGCAGTTGAATTTGCAGGCTTGATCCACTTCCAGAAATGATTTTTGCTCAGATCAACCTTCTGCATCAGTTCCGAAATGGCTTTTTTTCTCTCGTGCCCATCCGGATATTTTTCAGCAAAGGCTGTGTGTTTATTCTGGAAATGCCTTTCAACATTCGACTTTTTGTTGTTTGCCAATTTCTCACCACGTATTAAGCATACCAGTAAACCAGTCTCATCAGCAGTGAAAGCAAATGAATCTGCCCATGTACCATTAAATGTTCTGTTTTCTTCTGAAACTTTTCTTTTTTTGGATTTATCCATGGTTGGCCTACCGGGGGTCGAAAAGCTCAATAGGTTGCGTGCTGGCGGGTGTCGCACATTGGCGGTTGTGACGCATATTTTGAGCAACGGAGCTGCAGCAGAGGGATGAAAGAGCCACATGCGGCTCCAGAGCCACAGATTGCTGACCCCTGAACACTCTGAGTAAGCAGATCTCCACTGTGGGAAGATGTATTTCTATTTGAGGGCAATGATCTCAGAGTTTCCACCCATCTCTACATGAACATGCACATTTTGGTAGCAGGCCTGAACCCTAAAAAGCCAAGCCTGAGTCTCTATGCTCCTTAAAATGCTTGCTTTGCTTGGCATTAAAGTCTAGTTGCATACAGTAGTACATCAGAGCTTTAGCCAGTGTTCCCCTGTCCCCGACGGTCTGCTTTCATGGAACTAAGGAGTTTCCCTTTCTGATACGAAGATGGCACAAGACACTCGCACTGCACATCTGCAGCCTTGCCCGTTCCTTATCAGCCCTCACTTCTGCAGGAAAAAGGCAGTCATGAGCCTGTGCTTTGAGGTCAGAGAGAGATGGAATCTCAGCCATCCAGACAGGAATTCTTCTTAGTAGCTCACTGTACTTCATTATTTCTTAGCAGCTGTGCAAATAGTAGTATCAAAACTATTTCAGTAATCCTGACTTTTAATTGTATAGAATGCTATATGCATGTAACATAAGCCTGTAATCTATATAAGCCTGCCATTTTATTTGTGCTCTGGTTCAGACTTTTCAAGGGGGATTCTGTTGACTGTATCTGAACCCAGCTGATTGGAATCCTACCTTGTATGAATCCCCTCTATGTGCTGTAAAAAACTTGCTGCTAAATGTGTTGGAAGTCTAGCTAGCTTTGGATATTTTTTCAATAATAAATAGTTTCCTTATTAAACCTGGAGTTGGCATATCATTCTCTGGAATCCTAAAAAACCTTGACTTTTATGGTTATAATCATACGTCATGACAGTTCAGGATTCAGTAGTTCATGGGTTAAATACACCAGGGTAAAAACGTGTCAGCTTATATATGAATGAATTCAAATTATGAAACACCCAGACCAAACATGCCTGTTCTGACCAGAAGGTAAGATTTCTCACCAAGGTCAGTAGAAGTGTTCCTCGGCACTGCATGGAATTATACTTTGTTATTTCTGCTACTCAAAGAGCTTAAATGCAATGTGGCAGCTCAGTGTGCCCCACTTGAGACATCAATTTTGTATTGTGTACAACCCCCTTGTTTCAAACAGTAATGGCTGTTAAAGCCTTAATCATATTTGACTTGAGTTTTTATTTTGGATTCTGCTCTTTAATTTTATTTCCTTCTTGCCAA